AAAGCGCGCTGTCTCTAATGAACAAACCCGCCTCAAAGTAGAAAGGAGTATGCTACATCCCCCACAGGCCAAGCTCCGCCTCCGCCCTCGCCGCCGCCTACTTTGCAGCTGTCTTATGTGCGCGCGTAAGTATGGAATTGGAATAATGTACTCGTAATTGGATATGTGATTAATGAGCCATGTACGCGTTCGCCTTTGACTCAAAACACGTGCTGATTTAACGCTGTCAACGGGCGGTCTCACATCACACACACACACACGCGCACACACATACAGAGAGAGTGAGAGAGACAGAGAGAGATATTATGCATTTGCTTAATCATTATCCGATTAGCTGTCCAGTCTGTATTATTATCGAACTCGGTATTTACTCCGAGTAGCTTTGTTTTTCAGCTGCTGCTGTCAGCTGCGTGGCAACGTGCAACCGAATGTTGCAAGTCGCTGTGAAAACTTACAGTTAATTATGCTTCAATGAAGCTCTTACCTCAGCTCTTGGCGGCTTGCAGTCATCGATGAAATAAATGTAATTAATGGCAATTAAGTGGGCGTGGCAAGTGCTGCACATGCAACGCACTCAAAGCTAATGACCCATATTATGCATTGGCTGGCAGTGTGTGTGTGTGTGTGTGTGAGTGTGTGTGTGTTGCGAGTGTTCTTTATAATTGCAAGAGCTTAAAATTGTCAATGGAAGATGCTGTTAATTGGGTCAGCAAGCTGTTGCAAGAGCAGCACAAAAGCGCACAAGGCAACCATTTCATGCTTCATAAATCTCCAGTATAAATCGCTTTCATTTTTAAGTCCAGATTGCCCTTCATTAATTCCAACGAAACTCTCATTTTGTATATACGTTGCTTCTTGAGCTCACATCTTGGTTTTTATGGCTCAGTTTTCTGGCATATCTGAGCTCTATGCCATAGGCAAATGAGTTCTTATATTCTGCAATTGCATATAAAATACAGTTCTGTAAAAACCTATAAATGTCCATCAAAATGAATAGACTAAAGCTGAAAATACTTTGACAATTTTGGAAATTCTTATATGTGATATGCCAGTCGATGGCGTCCGACCTTCCCATGTTATTTCATTTAAAATATCAAATGGGGAAGCTGTGCTCTTTAATAATAAATACTATAAAGACTCGCACACGTATATATGAAGTATATTACGTATTATTTATTATTATTTCTATATTGTGTATTATAATTATTATTAATATTTATAGTTTAATTTTAAGTCAACATAACTTTTCTGCTTATTGCTATGCAAACTAGTTTTGCAGTGTTTGGTTTATTATCTATAGTTCGATTGCTATTTCGTACTGCGAATCAAATAGCTGTGACCTTATATATTATATCTGTTCAAGCATGAATATGCTATAGACGGCTAATTTCTGATGTCTTTATGCGGAATATGAGAGGGTGTTGAGGCATTTACAACGTCAATCCATCGAGTCTAGGAACATGGCATGAGAGATAAATTAATATATAATATATATAAATAACACATGAGAATTCTAAATAAAAGATGATAATCAGTGCAACATAAGCCTCATACAAGTATGAGTCTCTCAAGCATACTTCAACTATATCTTATAGTTGCTATAGAAAAAAGTCACAATTATAGGTAAGTTATCAGCTTTTCAAGATTACTTTCTTACATTTTAATTATATTGAATCTCTGAATTTGATGGAAGACTTATTCAACTGTGCCATCATTTTATTGTGTTAGGAAGAATCTATAAGAACTGTTTGATTTATTATGACTAACATCAATCTGAGATCTAGATTGCTCCTGCACGTTATGATATGATATGATATTGCACAATTTGTCAAGTCCGATATCAAGCTTAGAAAATATAAAACTCTTGTTGATTCTCTACAAGAGTCTCAATCTGCACTCTGCGCACTTTATTTTCACTTTTCCTGTAGACATGAAAGCCAAAGAGCTTAACTTATTAATTTATATTGATAGCTAACTTAATAGCTTATTCTCATTTTAGTCATTAGGCAAAATGTAAGCTAAATAAGTTGAATTAAAATGCAATTAAATTATGAAATGCAATTGAAGAGCTTTGAAATTTAAATGCAATTCAATGAAAACTTTGAGGTTTTTAGCCAAAGACACTTGGCTCCTTAACTGCTTAGCTCCTAAGTTTCTGCGATTAAATCGGGGCGGAGTGGAACACACATTATATGCACAGTTTGTTGTGGTTAAAATGCATATTAAATCTAATTCGATTTGCATTTGCTCTGAATGGGTAATGATGCACGTGTATGCTCTCTCTCTCTCTCTCTCTTGCTTTCTCTCTGTGTCTCCCTCCCCCGCTCTCTGTGTCCCCTTTGGGTTGAGGTTTTGGCTCAGCTTTAGGTGCAGACCAAGGCGCACCGCAGGCCAACTTGCAGCTGGGCGTTGATGCGTCTGGCAAGTCGATGTAATGTTGTGGTCGAGTTTCGAGGCACGTTGCTTTGAGGCTTTGGCCCTGAGCTAAGCTGAGCAAATAGTTCTAGCCAGACGTCAATGGGGCCCGCCATCAAATGCCCAAATTCTCTTCAAATAATTGAAATTTTGTTATTGCCAAATGAAAGCAAAAAGAAGCAACAGATTAAAAACTCAAAATACTTGTTTGTTTTGCTGCATTGTTTTTGTACAATTTTTTTGTTTGTTTTCTGTATTCTGTTCGGCTGTCCGGCGTATTTTGTTCAGGCGTAAATTCCCAGCAAAATATTTTTACATATTTTTTTCACTCGCGGCTGCTCAGCTTCCAAAAACATGTCTTTGATCTCAAACGCAGCAACCGAAAGAAAACAAAAAAGAAGAGAAAAATTTACATACAACGTAAAGTACAATTTACACAAATACAAAAAAAAGCAAAATAAAAATACTAAAATTAAACAAATACGTGAATAATGTAAGTGCAAAATAAACCTCAGAGCTTGACGCTCAAATTATTTGTGGAATTCATTATTTTCGTGAGCTGCTCGAATGCCAATAAAGCCATCGCCGCTGGAGGCGTTCGCTTGAGATTTTTCCAGCAACAACAATAAAAAACAGGCTCAAACTCAACTCACATTAATTAATGGAAAGCGGCTTTGATTGACAGTCAACTGAAGCTAATTCATTTATTTATATATATTTTATGTCACTTTTTACACGGAAGACAAGAGTTGAGCATGGGAATGTGCTTACAACAAATTAATCATTTTTATTATAGAATATTTGCGATGCTTCCTAATGTTCTTCTGCCATAAATCAAGCTATAAATCTATAAATTTATCAACTTCTTTAAGTTCAATTAAATTCGTCAAAGTCAATCGATCTTTATGAAATATTTCAGTTTGGGTTTTAAGTTAATAGTAACTCTTTCAGTTTTGCTGCTACTTAACTCTTAAAAACAATATATCTTAAAGAAATTTTGAAATTTGTTTGTTGGGGTTTTCCCTATTTCTCATGCTCAGTTCTTTCATAAAAACTGCTTCTATATTCAAGAAACGTTTCTTCAAAGTGTAATTGTTGCTTTCTCATGGTATTTTTTACTTATTTCATTTCTTCTTCAATTGAAATCACCGAAATGGCTTTAGGAAAGTTCTTTCACTCAATGTATTCTTTATCATTTAATTAAAATCTTATTACTTGTCTTTAAACAAATTTTATTGTGCCAAATAATCTGTAAATCTGTGCTAGTTTATTCGTATTTAAGTCGGTTTATGAAAACGTGTTATATATATATATATATATATATATATATTGTATATATATATATTGTATATATGTATTGCAAGCGACAAACAGTCTAAAGGCAATGCACAGCGAGCTGCTCATTCGTAATTAAATATCAGAATTAAAATTTCACAGTGTAAAACCTTTTGATTGATATGCCAATTTGTAAGCTGCAAGAGTGTGCGTGTGTGTGTGTGTGAATCAAGTGCTTAAACTTCATTAAAGTTCAGTGGTACAAAGCGAGTGCAATTAATAATTTTATTCATTTTCATTTAATTTGTGCGTATTAATTAGTCAATAAAGTAATTGAAGACAGTTAAACAAAGGTGTTTTATTATTTTGTGTTAGCTTGTAAAGCACAATCAAATGCAAATGTGTGCCACAGTGGGCCAACACCTTGATTTGTTGCTGCCTTTGTTGCATTTCTCTTTTGAACTTTTGACGTGCAACATGATGCATGACGCGACTTGTCGCGCGAATCATCTGGGCTCCAGCTGCTGCCTGACCTGCCCTGACGTCTGCTGCGTGTGTCAGTCACTCCGATTGTCAGTCAAAGGCAGCAGCAGCAGCAGCAGCAGCAACCGGCAGCTGAAATGGTCGTCACACAGTTTGAAATCGGAGCTTGCGAACCGGATTTACCCAAAACAAACAACAAAATGATTAAGAACATTTGATTTGCATGCTCACGACTGCACAATACTCTGTTTGTTCATTTGAATGAAGAACTGATAAAAGATTTGAACATAAAAGCATTCTTTTGATTTATTTATTTTTTCTTTTCAGAGTTATTTACAATTTTCCAATTTTGCAATTTTGTAATATATAGATTTTTGAGTGAGATTATGAATATATATTTTACTTATTTGCGGTACATTGGCAGCTTGTCTTAAGATAACTCTATACCCTGTTTATATAGCAGTTTGTATTTCAAACTACTTACTAGAATTATTAGAATTTATTAGAAGAATATATCTTATATCTGTATGGAATGGCTTTCCTTAACATTTAAAAAAAAAATATATTTTGCCAGAAATTTCGCCCAAGCAATATACCCACTTGCACTGCATGTACAGTGTAGCAGAAAGAAACAAAAATAAAAGACGCAGCAGTGAAATGATTTTTTCTTTCCACTTGAACTTGATGCGCGCCTTAAATATAAAAACTCACAGCCTCAGAACATTAGACGTGTTTAAGAGCTCGATTAAAGCGTAGCTCGCCTTAAGTTGACTTGAGTTTAGTCAGAAAGAAATTTCAGTTTGTTTATTTATATTTAATATATACGTAAAAACATAATTAGAAAGTTGATTTCAACGATTTCATTTAAATAAAATTTATCAGAGAAAATCGAGTTCAAAAATCCAGCATCCAACGGAAATGTGCGACAAAAGTGTTCGAAACATGGTAATCATTAACGATATCTGAACTGCATACGATCTATATTTATATATATCTTTTAAACTTAGCTGCTGAGCTGCTGTCTTGCTGTGCTGCTTACCACAAGTCAGGCTCGGCCGCGCTACAGTAAAAACTCGCATAAGAAGAACTTTGACCTCAGCAGCGCAGGCAGTGAGACCATCTTGGCCTACGCATCCAAGCCCCAGCCTCCCATGACCCTGACGGACAACTACAACTTGATTATGCCCGATTACTATGATCACCATCCAGCGGAGTCGATGCAGCTGCAGAACTTTGCCAACTTCTACGATGCCGAGATGAGTCCGGGCGCCGACCTGGGCATGGATGAGTCCCAGTTCCTGACCAGCAGCACGCCAGTGCGTGGGCCCACGCCAATCAATGTCGACGAGCAGCGCATACGCCAGCAGCTGTATCCGGTTGACATCGCCCGGGAGAAGAAGGCCCTGCAGAAGCTGAAGAAGGGCAGCACAAAGCCACGAGGCCCCGACTATGCCGAATGGGATCAGTTCGATTACGATCTCTACAGCGTCAATCCGGGCGATAGCAAAAAGTACTATAACGATTTCTAAATGTTTGCCCAACTTTCTAGTTATTCCCGTATTTGTTTTTGTTTATTGTTTACTTCTGTTTAAGCACTGAATAAATTATTTATTTATTTGTAAATTGCATTTAAAAAAATGTATTTGGAATGTGGTTTTATTACTTTTAAAAGCTTTTGTGACTGTCGCAATACTTTTGCTTAATATGTTGTCTCTCCTCCTCCTCCTCTTCATCTTCTTTTTTATTTTTAGCAAATTTGTCTGGCTACAATAATTATTAGTTGCCTAATTTGTTTAATTGCACGAGTCATTAGCAGTTGATTTTGATTATGGAGAGACTATTTTACTCTTTTCTTTTTGACTTGTGTGCGATCTTTTGCACAGCATCCGAGTCTCTACGCTGCGGGCCCTTAGAGAGTGCTGTCGGGACAGAAGCTTCATCATAAGCGCCTCTCTTGACACCTTGTTTACTTATGCAGCTCTTGTGGCGCCTCGACGCTGCACAGCTTGTGACATTTCCTCTGGACCCGGACAGTCGACCGTCTGCAATGGTGATGAATCGCCCAGCAGCTGTTGGCGTGCTTTTCATACACACATTGTGACGTCAGGGCTTGAAACGTGTTTCTATTTAGTAACTACCTAAAAGATAAAATAAAATAACAACACAACAGATGAAGCTATTTCTTGGCATGTCTCACTCGAATGCTAAGCCAATGACTCAACAAGAGTTCGACGCTGTGTTTGGGAGCAGGTCTCCATTTGTTTGGGGATTTTACAGTAATTTGATATCGAATATTTCCCAATTAAGGCGAAATGAAGAATTCTTTTTTGTTTGATTTTCTTGCTAGCTAAAAACATTTCAAATTGCCTTTTATGGTTGCGGTTCGATATCGAGCTCGATTGAGTAGCCGAATAATTTGGAGCAGCTACTGAAATTCAAATAGAAATCAAATCTGAATTTTCCGTTTGAATATTGGTAATTGAGGCTGTTTACCCTGGTCTGAGTTATGCACACCACATTATAGTTACTGCAAGACTTATGACAGCTTCCTTGTGATTTATTTGCCTTTTAGGTTTATTGTTCCCTATTGAGTAAAGTAACTCCCAAGCATGTTTCAAGCTTAGTTTTTAAATGTTTGTATACATAGCTATGATATGTTGAGCAGCAATGCTGCCAAGAATCCAATCAAAATTTATAGCATACTTTTAGGCTGGACGTCTTAAAAGCTCCTGTGTGCTCATTAACTGAGTGAAATAGTATGTTGGTTTTGTCCGTTTTGCTGTCCGTCCGTCTGACCATAAGAACTCAAACGATAGCTTATAATGTAGCTAGAGACTTGGATCGGAAAATACTATATCTGGCATGGCAGAAACGTTATTAGCTAACGTGATAGAAACCTGCTTGAAATTTGAAAAATGTGCTTGCGGTGATAAGCCAAGATCAAAAGATATAGTGGATATATTGGGGTCATGGCTAACAGCTTAATCTTGTCTTCCACACTTTTTACTCTATTGATTCATTAAAAGATAATATTAATAAGCTTCTTAAGGGCGTGGCAAGACGGAAATAAATCATAATCCAAATCTTACCAGATTTGGAAGCTGGCAGCGCTTAGACCGTGAATAAATATTAGGCTGTCGGTAGCGCTGGCTTTAAATATTTTTACTTAATTGTGATTTCAATTTGTTGCAGTTTTTGTAGCCTTAAGTCATAAACATTTTGTGGGCCTGTGAGCCAGCGTAGACATCTTGCCCCCGGATTTTTCTTCGGTACACTTTTGTCTATTGTTGTGTGAGATGCGAGCTGTGTTAAAAGTGCTGCTAGTCAATCCACGGTATATATGGAGTTCTGTTGCCTAAAGAATTCTCTGTAGCAGTCAGTTTCTCATAAGATAGTCAGCTGCAGTCCATCATCGTAGCGCTTTGTTTTGCAAGCCTTTAATAGCTCCTGTAAATGGTGCCTTTGGCTTATGTGTGCTTTGAAATGCGTTTCAATATCGAAACATTCCATGAAATGTTTGGCAAGAAAGCTGCACAGGTTTCAATACAAATATAACATTAATTTAGACTTTGCAAGCAAAACAGTTAATTTTAAATATTTGCTCCAATTCTCGAACTTCTTAAGGCTTAAATAAGTAAGTGGAGACAACAACTGCCCGTAGAAATATTGAGGATTACGAGAATTTTAATGGCGAACTAAAAAACAATTTTACAGAATGTAAACAAAATTTATAAAATTTTCCTCTATAATTATTCTATGGAATCTTTTAGATTTTGTGATGTGGCTTAATTATAGGGATACCTGGCCAGCTGCTCTTGTATATGTAGATTGAGGCGTCTGTCACGCGGTCGCAGCTGACCCTCGGCATTTATCTCGGCGCCCGGCGTCACGTAGATTTCCTTGCGGTCTTCGCTTTTTGCCGGCAGCGTTTTTGCACGAGCCGAATTTAGGACCTCGAAATGATTGGCATCGATCTGGCCGGGATTCAGCTGCAGCTGTTGGCATTGGCCGTTTGGCTGACAGTTGCTCACGATGCGCCGATAGCCGCGCGAATCACCTGGCACCGACTGCTTGTAGTCGTAGTTGTCCAACATGGCGCTCTGCGACTGAGCGTTATAGTCGCCAATGCGTGGTGCTACCGTTGGCTCTCCGGCCGCCCTTGGGACTGGCCCAGAGCCATGACCACCATCCAGCTGACGCTGGCCATTAGGCAGTGTGATAACAGCATAGGGCAGTGGATTGTTGTCCAGCTTCGGTTGCTGCTGTGGTGCACCATAAGTGACCACTGGCTGCACCTGAGCTGTGGTAATTGTCAAGGCCTGCGGCTGTCTGTAGTAGCTGGCAGCTGGTTGCTGTGCTTGATAGTACTTGTTGGGCTGGATTGGGGCAGGCGGTGGTGCTATGAGGCCCACTAACGCAGGCTGGCGGTTGACCAGCAGCGGATTGTACGGCGAACTGACCAATTGCTGATGCTGATATTGCTGCCGCGGCTGCTGCAGTTGCTGCTGTTGATATGTGGTTCGCTGCTGCTGCTGCTGCTGCTGATGAGCCGGCACCGCGAACGTTTCATGTGCCACATAGACCGCTGGCGCCCTATGCGCTTGCAGCTCATAGGTGCGTCCATGTTGTCCAAGTGTTTGCACTACGAACTTGGTCGCCGACTGGCCCACAGCTGGAGTCCGTGGAGTCAGGTGGAATGGTATTTGCGGTTGCGGATAGTTATAACTGACTTGTGACTCGGCGCAGCTCAATAGCGCCAACTAAAATAATTTGTTTCAAAATATATTAATATTGATGTGGCGTTGATGGCTAATTAGCCCGTATGCTGCTTACCGCCAAGACCAGCAGCATCATGTGGGCCATCTAAGCGTAGAGAGTGAGTTATTGATTTGGAAATTATGGAACTGCTTGTGGTTTGTGTTGTGCACGCCTCGCCGTCTGGCAAATGATTGAGACAGATGCTGCGCAGATCACACTGTTTGACTTCTTCGAAAGAAGAGTCAACCCAGAGCCGAGGCAGTGGCAGCAAAACTTGTTTTGCCCATTGAGTTGTAATTGTGGCACCGCTTGCCTTTGGATTTGTTGTACCACATTTAAATTTCATAATTTGTTTTTGTCTCTCTCTCTCTTTCTCTCTGCAGCTCTACCTCTTTCTCTCTTTCCGTACATATATATATGTATATATATATATATATGTGGATTTATTTATATGCCTGCATTTGCTATCGGCGCTCGCCACTTCAACGTTCGCTTGCTTGTGGTATAATTTGGCTATCACTTATGTTTCGGTTTTGTCATAGTTAAGGAGCCAACTTTTACGTTGGCCCATGCGAAGAAATCATTCCGTGAGGCCGTGAAAATGCTTTCCGCTCGTTTGGATACGCTTTTAGAGGGTACTGAGGTTAATTCACATGTTGTGCAAGGTATTGATGGGAATATATAGTGATAAATGTATTTCTATATTATCAACTATTGTGATGTGTTTATTTATGTGATTGTATGCAGTTAAGACTCTCAGCTAAAGCCGCTCAGCATATAGCAAGTTTAGTAAGGGCTTGGATGAAGATATATTGACCAAATTTTTAATTTTCTAAGCATATAATGTCTTTTCAATGGCTCACTTCCTCCCTCTTACTCTCCATCTCTCATTCTTTGTCTTTCCCTCTTTCTCTTTAGCTCTTTTTATATTTCGCTAATTGAATTGTTTTTTATCTAAAGTATTTCTGGTTTTCAAACCTCTTCTTCTCTTAAAGCCAATTCAAGCGCAGCTTGTTTCATTCATATTTTTATATATCCCCCAAAAGCGCGCAGACAAAGCGTATTCATTGTTCGCTTTGCTGCCTCAAATTCACTCTTTTCTAGTTTGTTTATTATTTATGTTATTCATTGTCTTTCCGCACTTAACCACTTTTAAGTTACCAACTCACCCATGCCACATTATTGTACATTTCTGCGTATTGACTTTATGGCTAGAAAGATCATGTTGATCTCGTCAAAAGTAAAAGTGCGATTCCGCCGGGCGTAATCATAGCTCGCGTTGTTGATGTGATTGTCGTTGTTGTTGTTGTTATTGGTTTATAAATAAATTTGCATTAATTTTGTATGAGATTTATGGTTTGTGTTTTTGTTTCAGGTTTCATCTGCGGAGGTTGTGTAAATTGGTAAACAATAAAGTTTAATTCGATTCAAATGCAGAGTTGATTTATATTTGGTCAGCCGACTTGAAGCTGGAATCCAAAATTTATTTCTCAAATCTCGCATTTGATACTATTCTACATTTGAGGCCTATTTATGGGCCATGGTAAAGGTCGTTGCAACCATAAAGTCTGTTTCAAGTTGACGAATTAGGCTTGATTTCTCTTTTCTTTCGACCGAACTTTGATTTCGTCTGACATAAAAGATATATGAAGTGATGCGATATGCAGATGTGTTAGCTTTGGCACTTATATCTTAACTTCGGGTATTTGGCAAATGCGAATGATTGATTCATTGCAAATCTGCAGAAACTGTCTTAGCCAACATAATAAGAGTTGATATTTGAGGAGATTGTCATGAATTGATATAAAAGCGTAGATTTATAGCTGCTTCTAACAGGTGCTAATTCAGTTAATGCCATTTATTAGAGGGTAGTTGTCAAAGTTGATAGACAGATTGTATTTGATCAATATATTTCAAAGTTAGTGCTGCGACTATCACCACTCATTAGCTCACGCATTTTTAAAATGATGTTTAATCAAAAATCAAGTCTAGAAAACTTTGTACTCGAAAATTTGCATTTTTAAATAAATTATTAATACTAACAAATTATGAAAAAACTAAAAAAAATCAACTGAAAAAATTATTAAAAATTGAAAACAAAATTTATAATAAGTAAAAATATAAAAAGCTAATTTTTGGTAAAATCAATTACGGAACTAAATAAATTTAAAAGTTTTTTGAGCATAAATCAATACTTGCATTTTATTAACAATTTTAAATTGATTTTAAGAAGCTATTTCAGAAAACAGTAAATTTGTCTTAGTTGTTGTCTTGGCTGCACAGGTGAATGGCCTCACAAAAGATCTGATTTTTATTCATTTCTTGATTAATTTTTGTCGCTGCTATTTAATTTTCCATTCAGGCGGCATAATGGAACAGGTTTCGAATGGCCTTTGATTGTTTGACCAATTATTTAACACGATTATCAATTGGCAAAAAGAATCTCTATGTAATGTGCTAAGAGGTAAGCCTACCTGGGTTATAAAGCAGACATTATGATCGCTTTGTTTGCCTTGACTGAGACAAAAAATCATCGATGATTCATAGAGCGATAAGTGAAATTATGAATATATAACATTCAATGTATGTCACTTTATGTTAACGTGCGGCTCCATAACCGGTATTGATCAGAGTTTCGGGTAGTTGACTGAAGCTTTCGTCGTGTGCTGCAAACGCAGTCAATTGCCTGGCAGACGTTGCGCAATATGTTAATGTAAAATCAAAGGCGCGGCATTTGAATGCCACTTGAGGAGGCAAAAGTCTATGCCGGGGGCAGAACTACGCACGTGCAGTGGCTCGGGCGGCTAACAAAGCGCAAGGCAACTGCCAACACTTGACATTCACAATGAAAATGCAAGGCAAATGAAAGAGACTTACTCACGCAGACAGCCACACGCACTCGCGACGGCTTATCAGAGCGCTGGAGTAGCGCTTAATAATGCAAGTGGCCGATGCTGCGTATACGCAATGTGCCTTGACTTGAGCTGACTTGACTGGGCTCAGCGTGAGCCCGCAGGCTTGACTGGGGGCGTGCTAGATTTGTGAGGGTGTGAGTGCGTCTGTGCGTTGTCTGTGCCACGACAGCGTTGCATTCATAACGTGCATTCAGGGTTAAAAGTCGAGTTGAATTGCGTCGTGCTGCGCGGCGCCGCATTGCATGCAACGCCGAACGAGATAGCGCACGTGATGGGGTCGCTATAGAAATGCAGTTTGCAGTTGCACTGACAAATACGGCTGTGCATGTGTGTGTTCCATCAGACGAAGGGACGTGCAGTTTGTTTTAGCCATTTTCCACATGAAGCGTCACTTTAGACACCTCGCTGGCTTTGCTGGGCTTTCAGTAGCTTTGCTTTAGTTGCGGCGCCTAATTAGGCACACCTGAGCCCACGGCGTAACTGGCCTGCCTTGCAAATTGGTTAGCCGCTTGCCAACTGGGTTGAATGACCCTTTGCCACCCAGCTGAACTCCGTAATCCAGCGAAAAAAAAGGAAACAGAAAAACTGCTTTAAGCAGCTTCGCCTACAACAATGCAAAAAACGCTGCAAAAAAAGCAAGAAAATCAATTGCATAATGGCGCATGTGTTGCGCTCAGCAGCAGCAGCAGCAGGAGCAACAACAACAATAACAAGACTAAATTGCAACTCTTATTTTTTTTTATTTCCATTTGCAGCGGAGCAGAGAAAATAACAAAAACAACAACAAAATCAACCACCAGGCGACGCCACTCGAGTTGCAGTCAGAGATTTTTGTTGCTGCTGCCATATTTTTTTGTTGCCATCGGAGACAAATACACCCACACACACACAGAGACACTTGGGTCGACACATGTGTGTGACTGGCAGGCAGTCAGCTTTTGTTTGCGCCCGCACAGGAAGCCATTTAAGTGCGGCTTCTTGAGAAAATTGCCGGCGCGACGGGCAGAGCAGCGCGGCGGAGACAGAGGCAAAAAGAGCGAAATAGATAGAGAAAGTGTGAGAGGGAGCAAGCGATAGTCCCATAGATATAGATAAAGATAAAGATAGAGTGTGAGAGAGCTACATAGAAGGATGTGCCTAACGAGCGCGTTGCAGTCTTAATTATTAACAGCAGCAGCAGCAGCAGCAGTTGCAGGGCAGAGTAAGGGGCAGACTAAAAGAAAGAGAGACAGAGAGATAGAGAGAGATGGGTGACGAGAAGTTAATGCCTGTCCAGAGCTTAACTCTGTTGCTGGCTATCATGCACGACGGGACTTGGAAACCCGCTCAGTGCTAAGCCGCTCAATTGTTGAGCGACTCAGGCGCCTTAATAGGCTTAGAATCGAGTCAACTATCAAAACAAGTCCGATAAAAGCACAAATATGCATGCACACATGCACAGACATGCACAGACAAGCGCAGACATGCACAGACATGCACACTCGCATTTGATATGCTTGCGCTCCAGTTGCAGCGCAAACAGCTTTGTCAACGCATTCCAGATTCGCGTGTGTGCATGAGTGTGTGTTTGTTGGTGTGTCCCTGTTCTGTCTCAACTGCGTCTGCACTCTTACTATACCCGCACACACACATACATACATAAATGTCGAGATTTGCATATGTCTGCTGCAGCGCCGCTGAGTATGCAATGCCCGTCGCCAGCTCTTGACTTACCCTCGGAGTCGTCCTCATTGGCTTTGTTTTATAATTTTCCTTTGATTAATTTTTGTATTTTTATTTTCGGTCACATGCACTAAACAATGCCCATGAGCAGTGCAGTCGGTAAATAAACAGGGTGTGCATTGCTGTGCAAGCTAATCAGATTTCTTTTGGATTTTAAAATATAAACATAAACAAATGTAATATTATATGATTTTAAAAATTTAATATAAAAGAAATGTAAACTAATAAAATGTATATAATGAAAATAAATATAAAAATTAAAATTAAAATTAAAGAAAATTGAAATTAAAGATTTTTTAAAATTAAAGAAAATTAAAATTAAAATTAAAAAATTATATAAAATTAAAATTAAAATTAAATTAAAATTAAAATTAAAATTAAATATCGAAAATATGTATATATATAATATATAGATAAAATTACTGCTTCAATACATTTCTCTTTTTTAATATCCCTATCATTGAACAG